CATACTTTTAGATACGGTGTTATTTGTAAATGCTACTGCTTATGTTAGCTTTTAATATATGGTTTTATCCTGATTAAAGCTTTAATACAGTACGGCAACTGCGTCCATGTATAACGCTTCTCTTAGCTATGTGAAAATAAGTGTATAATTGTAACAGTTCATTGCTGGAGCTAAGCTGAATGAGAGAGAGAGAGAGAGATGCAGAACAGGGGGACGCAAGGAACAGTATTGAGAACCGCTGCTTTAGAACATTGATTTTGAAACTTGTGAATCCATTAGAATCGTTAGAAGACAGAATCACGATTCATATGAGAACAGATTTTTACGTGCACCTCTAGTTTTCTCTTCCTCTTCTCTAAAGCAGCGCAGCATGGCCTCGCCCCCTTTGCTGCCTTTTCCCGAGGGCGGGGTTTATCTGGGTTTGTGATGTCACGAACCCGGGAAGTAACTCGTTGTAGTCCCTACCAGCTGTTTTTGTAGGCATTAAACTGCCAGAATTTTAAAAGACGATATCTCCGTTTGCATTGAACTTTCAGCTTCGTAACTTTGCAGATATTGTTTATGCTCAAACAACAACATTACACACTAACTAACGTTTAAAAAGTGAAATCACAACGAACCACCCCTTTAACTAAATTTGGAACAGGTTTAAAGGCAAAAATAGAAATAATAATCATCATAATAATAATAAAGATTGTATAAATTTCCAAGTTAAATAATAGTTGTAATATTATAAATTATAATAAATACTTAAGGGTTGTTTAGGACAACTGTTTTGATGTCATTTCAAAAATAAACAAAAAAGTGAAAGCTTGAGCTTATTAAATGCTGACAAAGCTACAACCTTTACTTTTACTTTTAATTAAAATAAAAAAATTGTGGAAATAATTTTTTTTAACTGTCCTTATGCCATTCTGTCCAAATGGGTCCAAATGATGTCACTTTTTGGGTGTCACAAATGTATGGAATGTTCCATTTTGTTTAATGGGGGAAAATAATGCAGTAAAATCATATAAAAGTAAAACATAATGCAAAATGTTGGACACATCTAAACATCAAGTTTTGGTAATTAAAATATTTTAATAATTAAAAAAAAAAATATATATATATATATTAATACTATAAATATTATGTCAATTCAACAAGCTAAAGGTGCGGTCATTTGAGCAAAATTTCAGCAAATTTTTTTGGACAAAATGGTCCAATGTCTATTGTCACACACAGAAGACACTTTCAAACAAAGCAGCTTTCTGTTGTTCTGTGCCGTGAAATTAAATTAACCAACTTGAAAATGAGCTAAATCTATATGAATAACTTTTTGTCATGAAACCCTCTAATCGTGCAGATACCTATTGGAATGACTTGGTTTTCGCCCATGAATTTTCACTGAGTGACAGTAAAAGGTTGCGATTACGCTTCAAAATTTACGTGAGGACATCTTTCACCCTCTCTTGAAATTCCCAATAGTGCAGTTTCCAATTGAAACAACTGGATTTTGCCTGTGAAAATGTGCTGAAAATCAGTAATGTTGAGTACACACTAGTGCTGTCAAACGATTAATCGCGATTAATCGCATCCAAAATACAAGTTTTTGTTTACATATATGTGTGTATACTGTGTATATTTATTATGTATAAATTTAAATACAAACACATGTATGTATATATTTAAGAAAAATATGTTATGTTTATACATTAAATATATTTATATATTATATATAATATAAGAATATGAATATATAAATTCATAAACGTAAATATTTTCAAAATATATACTGTATGGGTGTGTATTTATATATACATAATACATATACACAGTACACGTACATATATAAAATAAACAAAAACTTTTATTTTGGATGCGATTAATCACGATTAATCATTTGACAGCATTAGTACAGACATTTTAAGTTTTCTTTACATGCTCTTTATAAGTGATGGGACATCAAACTACACCCTATTCAAATAAGTGCCTGGTCATTTATTTGGTGCATAACTAAAAATAGGTCCCACAGATATATAATGAGTCATCAACAGTTCTTCAATCAGTGTTGACCTGTTATGCCCTCTTTTATTCCTAATCTAACTACTCTTCCATTTCATTTACAAATCCAGTGCAATCACTATAAAGTCTAAATGAGATAGAAGTTCATTTCAGAGGAAGATGGTTGAAGTGGTCGGGCTGACTTTGAGAGGTCACTCTGACATCCAACAATAACCATATTTACCGCTTACGTGGCCTTTGCTACTTTCGTGCGTTTCATCCTTTTCCTGCGCATGAGGGTGACCTGAGGCCTCTTCAAGCCGGCGATGAGCAGCAGCAGTCTGGGTCGGGACTTGGTGAGCCAGCTTCTCAGTAGCGTCCCCTTGGGAAACCTGAAAAATATCACATCCCGTGAGTTCACAAACATGTCTGCAAGCACCTCAGTGCTCCTCGGGGAAAGACGAAATGAGTTCACTGACTCCGTCTCATCTGTCAGCTGCCTTGTTATACTCGAAGTTGTACTTAAAATTACTGATTCTTAAACTGAATTTTGGTTTTTGGTTTTTTATTGTAAAGCTTGAATCAAAGTTCAAAGCTCTACATAAATAAACTTGACTTCACTGTAATGGTTATTGAGTTATTAATGCTGAACAACATCTGTCAAAATGAATGTGTTTTATTTTATTGACTCAAGCTGTTCCATAAACGCATTGATTTGATGCACTGTAAGAAAAAGACAAATTGTAGGAACAAGGAAAAGGTACTGGTTCTTTTCTGCCAGGACATTTCGTTTAACCATAACACACAACTCAATGCATATTTCAAAATACAAGTAAAACATATGTGAAAAATCAGCCCAGAATATTCGGTCATATTAACACAGTACATTGTGCCATATTTTTCCTTGAATTAATATTTCAGTTTTTTACACAATGGAGGCAAACAATAATGAATTGCCAAGGCCTTTATTAAATATGCTTAATAAAGCTGACTATATTTGGGAGGAATTGAGTGTGAGACTACAGAAATGTAATGTAATGTTCCAGGGAACACACATACTGGTAAAAAAAAATGTATAGCCTGAATGCACTGTAAGTCGCTTTGGATAAAAGCGTCTGCTAAATGCATAAATGTAAATGTAAATGTGGGATTGGCATTTAGTTTATTCAGGCTTTTACATGAGCAGAAATTTGTCTAAATAGTCATGTCAGATTTCAAGTTAACCAAGATTATCTGAGTGAATCTGAATTATGAATTTTAAAAATGTATTAAGAATGTCCAGATCATCAGGCGTTTCACCCCATAAAAACTATATATTTTATTTATATAAATGAAATACAAAAATATATACACTTTATTCAATACAACTGTATGTTATAAATAACCCATTAGGATTTGTTTCAAAAGGTTTCATTACAATTAAGCATTTCCCCTGTAATTCTCATTAATGTGAAAGAAATATTTACATTTACATAAATACAGTAGTAAGTACAGTAGTGCAGTTAGAACAGTTGTTGTATTTTAAAAGCTTCATTTTCTATATGCAATTTTATTTATTTACTTGTGTACTTACGTACTTACATATTTACGTATGTACATACTTGTATATTTATGTACTTTCATATTTACATACGTACTGACATATTTACGTACTTGCATACTTATATATGTACTTACATATTTACGTACTTACACACTTAAGTATTACCTAATGCACTTATTTATGTATTTACATATTTACATATATATGCATTTACGAACTTACATATTTACATGCATACGTACTTACGTACTCACGTACTTACGTGTTTACATATATACGTGCTTACGTACTTATATTCTTACGTACTTAATGTATTTAAATACACATTTACGGACTTGCGTACTTACATATTTACATACGTGCTTACATACTTATGTACTTACGTACTTACATATTTACATACGTACTTATGTAACGAACGTACACATTTACATACATAATTACATATTTACGTACTTACATGTTTACATACATACGTACTTATGTACTTGCGTATTTACGTACTTATGTTCTTACATACGTACTTACATACATACTTGCATACTTACGTATTCATGTACTTCTTACTCACGTACTTACGTACTTTGTACTTATGTACATACGTACTTACTGACGTACTGAAATATGACCTGGATATTTAATGGAAATCCATCTATTTACTCCATATCCTATCATCACTGATAGTGTTTAACGTGCTCTGTCTGAGCTGTGTTGTTCCAGAATGACTGTACAGTCCCGAGCGAAGAGCACATAAACTGTTTCAATCTTACTGTCCAAGTCTACGGTTCATTGGTCTTTTCTGTCACACTAACAGCTGTAAATCATTGTTCCCCATGTCATGTTTAGTCTAAGATGAGTCCTGAGACACGTCACGCTGTCCAGCAGCTGGAGCTTTACTTTGTCCTGTATGAGTGAGTGACTGTTTGCTTCTGTTTAATAACGTGTTTCATCTGCTTTTGACTGCACACAGTGCAACTCAGCTACAGAAACACACAGATGAAATCAGATTATTGATGGACTCGTCCAATCAGCACAATCAACGTCTGGAGCGTTTCTGTATCGACGCAATGAATTTAAACAATATTGACTCAACATAATTCACTGCACAAACTCAATTTTTCTCCATCACACCTTTTGCCATTAACATTTATACAAAAGTCTGCAGTGCTTTTTTATTATTACTATGTTTTTTTTTTTTTTTTACGACCAACACTTTATGATATGGTATCATTTGTTTAAATGAGTGGATGCATTAACTAACATTAACAAAGAGCAAATACATTTATTACAGTATCTATTAATCTTTGTTAATGTTAGTTAATAAAAATACAACTGCTCATTATTAGTTCAACTTAGCTCAATGCCATTGAATAATACTAAAGTCTATTTTTCCACTGCCAGCCATTCAAAAGTTGCCATGCATCAGACAGAATTTAATATTTTGTACAGTAGCACAAAAGAATCATGATGTTTCACCAGTGACCATTTTTAGGGCTCTTAAAAGCATCAAACTACTCTTTTCCCTCCTGGCTGCTGCATTATAGAGAGAATCAGTCACATGGCATTTACCACTCAGGTGACTGGCTCTAAGAATGTTTCTGGAATTACATGCCCATGCAAAGCGAAGATGGCAGCTTCCAGGATTGATCATGGAAAGATGGCATAGTAAAACATTTAGAAACAGTCCATAGGCATCATACAAGATCTGGAGGTTGACCAGGTAACATATAACCAGGCCAACATTCAATCCAAAAACCCCAAAATCAAACACACATCGTTTACAATGCCCTATACCTTCATGCAAAATATTTTGGCATCAGCTGCCAGTAAAATTCGACTGATTTTACAGAGAAATCAATTAAACACAAGAGCTGAAAACTTCCCATCCTTCTCATTCTCTGCATGATTTCCCTCCAGAACAGATTTTTTTTGCCGTTCCCCCAGAACAGCAGCACAGTACCTGAAGCAGCAACACTCCTCACCGAAGCACCATCTCAAGAAGCCTATAGCCTCCTGAAAGCCTTCACACACCAAACACTCCCATAACAGGACTTCAGATGAAGGGTGACAGTATAACCCAGCTTTTACACTCGCGTCTCGCACGTCTGACTGCTGAGCTCAATGGAAATTATAAAACTTCAATTGTTTCAACTTTTGCTGGTCGAGCACGACCCAACGGGCCAGAGAGAGATCTAGCAACGTGTAGACGCGCTGCGGCCTCACTGAAGCCATTGTTGTTCCCCCAGAGGGGCTCGATGTTAAATGTGGCGAGAGCAACATTGTTTGTTTTGCGGCCTTATTTTCCTCTTTTTTTTTTCTTCATCCAATTTTGTCTCTGATGTTAACACAATATTTCTCCTATAGGAAATCTGGCCGATGTGTTTAGAGTTGACCATTTTGTTTTTGGTCTGTGTTCTCATCCACCAAATTAGCTTCTTCGTCAAGGTGTCCAAAATGCTGGGAAGCTTTGTTGATTCATCGTTGATTCAACTTCATAGACGGAAGTCTTTTCAAAGTCATTTTGAGATGTCATATCCAAATATTATGTTCACAATATCTTGACTTTCAACTTGAGATTTAGTCCAAAGATTGGCTTCTTCTAAGAAATGTACTAGCAAAATTAAAACTACACTCTAAGAAATGCTGGGTTGTTTCAACCCAAATGTGGGTCAAATATGGACTAACCCAACTTTTGGGTTAAAATTGTAATTTAAAAATTTAACCCAACAGTTGGGTTAGTCCATATTTTACCCAAAGTTGGGTTGAAACAACCCAGCATTTCTTAGAGTGTAGCAAAAAACGTTCTAGCAAAACTAAATGTCAGTCTTTTCAGATTTTATCAATACAAACATTGACTTTTGAGATGTCATATCTGAATATTATGTTCACAATATCTTGACTTTCAACTTGAGATTTAGTCAAAAAATTGGCTACGTCAAAGAAATGTACTAGCAAAATTAAAACTACACTCTAAGAAATGCTGGGTTGTTTCAACCCAAATTTGGGTCAAATATGGACTAACCCAACTTTTGGGTTAAAATTTTAATTTAAAAATTTAACCCAACAGTTGGGTTAGTCCATATTTTACCCAAAGTTGGGTTGAAACAACCCAGCATTTCTTAGAGTGTAGCAAAAAACGTTCTAGCAAAACTAAATGTCAGTCTATGCTAGACCAAAAATAAATACACAAAACGAGAAAAAAACAGTATTTCAAACAACTGAAGAACTATAAACACAAACACATTATAATCTTAAATGAAACACAATCAGTCAAACTCAAAATAATGACAATAAAACCAACCAGAACAGCTTTCTCAACTATGAAGCTCACTCATTTATAATTAGGTAGTGTATGTCTAAACATAAAACATCACTTAAGTTTGTCCAGGTGATCAGCATCTTAATTTAGCAAATAATTACCCTATGAAAAACAGAAAGCGTTTCTTACCAATTGACTCCACACATTTGTTAGGCTATGCCCCCTGCGCCCTGCTAAGCCGCATATATGATGCTATGGACTTATTAGTGTCACGCTAGAGAGTTCAACCAGGATGGAAAAAAACTAATCTGCGGGACAAAGGGAAGTGCAGCGGCTCCATGGGGCGGAGCGGGGCTTCAACAGGAGGGTCCACTCAGCACTTCTCTCAGCGAGCAACAACAGATGATCCCGCGCTCCGCACCAATCACAGCGCTCGCTGACCCTGTTTCTATGACAGCCAGGGCCTCGCACTGCTACAGAGGACAGAGAGGTCAGCCAAACTACCATCCTCTGTTGCACATGTGGAAAATAAAGTCCTTCGAATGTATTTAACACAGCACCCAACTGCCAAAGGGTTAAAACATATGCCGTACACCAAGTATATGGAGCTTGGGCCCGTAAATTGTGGAAGTAAACACAAACAAGCAAACAAACAAAAAGTAAATACATTTTATTGAAACAACAGTATAAAAAGGGAAAAGAGAAATAAATAGGATATGACATGGGCCAGATTTGAACCTGCATTTCCCAGACAAACACCACAGGAGCACGTCTGGAGTGCATGCGTTGTGAACATTATTCAAATTCTTTATTGACAACTATAGCATTTATATATTATGTCATGCTATTTAATATATCAAACAATAAAATCTTTAAAAAAAAAAAAATGTTCAGATTTATACAGTATATTCTATGTACAATGCCTGTGATATCCATTCCTCTGTATTTCGCTGTTACGTTTTTATTTTGTTTATTATTATTATTATTATACATTTCCCCTGTAATTGCAAAAAAAAAAAAAAAGGAAATAAAAAACTGCATTTAAAAAATAATAACTTTTTTTGAAAGAAGCCTCTTCCTCACCAAGGCTGCATTTATTTGATTTTAAAAATACAATAAATACAGCACTATTGTGAAATATTACTACAATTTAAAACAGCAGTTTTTTTCTATATAAATACATGTAAAAAAAAAAAAGAGTCAAAGCTGAATTTTCAGCATAATTACTCCAGTCTTCAGTGTCACATGATCCTTCAGAAATTCAGTAAATACTTATTATAAAATCATAAAATATAAGCTGTATACCAAATACATGGATCTTGGGCCCATGAATTATATAAGTAAATACAAACAAATAAATAAATAAACACAGCTCCACATGAGCACATCTGTAGTACATGCGTTATGAACATTATTCAAATTCTTTATTGAGAAAATATAGCATTCATATTTATGTTTGTATTATATATGTTATATTTATAACATTTTGTCATGCCGTCGAAAAATAAATTCCTTTAAAATATAATCTGTATTTAAATACTAAAAATGACCTGGTCAAATGTCAGTATTTTGGAAAGAAGTCTCTTCTTATATCCAAGGTGGCATTTATTTGATAAAAAAAATACAATAAAAAAACATTATATTGTGAAATATTATTACAATTCAAAAGCACTGTTTTCTATTCTAATATATTTAATACTTGTCACGGTACGGGTGTTCTAAAGAACAGGCAGGATGACGAAGATGACGAATAAATGGATATTTAATCAAGAAACAACAGGAGATCCAGACAGGGTAGACATCAACACACAGGGTAACATTCACATAGACATTGGCATTTACAATAACCGACAAACTAGACTACAAGAGGCAGGAACTAATATAGGGCAGATAACGAGGGGCAGACAGGTGAGCACAATAAGGTGATTAACGGATAATGAGGACAGGAACAACCAAATAAGGACACGGAGGGAGAAACCACAATCGACAGTCCACAGGGGTGTGACAGATCACCCCCCTCCCGGAAGGCGCGACCTCGCGCCGTGGGGACATAGGGAGGGACGGAGGGGGACTTAGGAGGAGGACAAAGGAGTGGATGTGGGATGGAGACAGGGGAAGGCAAAGGGCTGGCAGGCAGACATGACAGGTGGAGGCTCCGGCGGAGGACGGATATCCGGGAGGAGGCCGGCAGACCGAGACCAGGGAGGCGACGAAGGAGAGAGGAGCCAGGGAGGAGACAGGAGGGATCCGGAGCAGGAGGAGCTCAGCAGGACCCAGGCCACAGCCATAACAGCGGCCCACGGTGGAGCCGACGGTGGGAGGAGCCATGGAGGAGGGAT